TTCATTTAATACACTCCACCCATTTTCATTAAGGGTATTATAGTAAACTTTCACCTTTTTTCAACTCTCCTTAAAAACTACCAAAAGTCAAAATGAGAACATCTTAGGGGGACGGAGGGAGTATTAAACATGATAGATAACCTACTTTGCAAAATTTTCTGTAGATGGCAAACAACAACAACCCTTTCAACCTGAGTTACATCCTGGAAAACAACAAGTTATCCGGGACCAACTTTCTTGACTGGGAGATGAACCTCCAAATCGTTCTTAACTGTGAGAGGAAACTCTACATCCTCGAAACAGATCCTCCCAAGACCCCTGATGCTAATGCTCGTGCGTCCAAACTCACTTCCTTCAAGAAGTATGAGGACGACGCACGAGATGTAAAGTGTATCATTATAGCCAGTATGACCGCGGAGCTCCAAAGGCTCCACGCGGACATGGAAGTGTGTCCTATGATACAACGCTTGACAGACCTTTACCAGGGTCAGCCCCAAAACTAAGGTATTTACGTTATCGAAGTCAATATGTCTGATATCACCTCTTGGGTGATGGATACTGGATGTGGTTCTCACATCTGTACTTCTATGCAGGACCTGCATGAATGTAGACAATTGACGGAGGGAGAGATACAACTAAAAGTAGGCAATGGCGCACTCGTAAATGCATTAGCCGTCGGAACCTATAGTTTATCTCTACCTTGTGGTCTTATATTACAGTTAAATAATTGTCTGTTTGTACCTAGTATGAGCAGAAACATCATTTCTGTATCCTGTCTTGACAAAGCAGGATTTTCGTTCGTTGTATAAGACAAAACTCTTTCTGTCTTTAGAAATGATATATTTTATACAACTGCAAAAATGACCAACAGTCTCTATGTCCTTGACATGGATACCACAATATATAACGTAGATGTTAAGAGAAACAAACCTAACAGTTTGAATCTCGCGTACATATGGCATTGTCGTTTGGGCCACATTAACGAGAAACGCATATCTAAGTTACATCGCTCAGGTGTACTTGATAAATTAGACTTCCAGTCATATGATGTATGTAAATCTTGTTTACTTGGTAAAATGACAAAGGCTTCATTCACCGGTCACGGGGAAAGGGCAAGTGACTTATTGGGCCTCATACACTCTGATGTGTGTGGTCCAATTAGCACTGTAGCTAGAGGTGGTTATTCTTACTTCGTTACAATTACCGACGACCTTAGTAGATATGGATATGTGTATCTCATGAAACACAAATCGGAATGCTTTGACAAATTCAAAGAATTCAGGAACGAAGTAGAAAAACAATTAGGCAAAAGTATTAAGACCCTCCGCTCGGATCGAGGAGGTGAATACCTAAGCATGGAGTTTAATGACTATCTGAAAGAGCATGGGATCTTATCCCAACTCACTCCTCCGGGGATACCTCAGTTAAATGGTGTGTCTGAAAGGAGAAATCAGACTTTGCTTGACATGGTCCGAAGCATGATTAGTCTAACAACATTGCAAGAATCATTTTGGGGATATGCATTGAAAACAGCAGCACACACCCTCAACAGAGTTCCATCTAAAGCTGTCGAGAGCACACCATATGAATTATGGCGTGGGAGAAAACTGAATTTCTCATACTTTAAGATTTGGGGCTGTGAAGCTTATGTAAAACGTCTCATGACGTCTAGTAAGTTGGAGCCTAAATCTGATAAAGTAATTTTTGTGGGATACCCCAAGGAAACTAGAGGGTATGAGTTCTATCATCCATCCGATAATAAAATTTTCGTTGCTTGGAATGGAACCTTCCTTGAGTAGGAGTTTCTTTCTGCTATCACTAGTGGGAGAAAGGTAGACCTCGAAGAAATTCGAGAACCACAAGAAGTCCCGATAGTATTGGAACCTGAGCTAAGAGATCAAGCAATTGAACCTCAAACTGCTCAAGATATACCACGTAGCTCACACCGGATACGTAATCCTCTTGTCAAATATGGATTTCTCATGTCTGATGAAGGTGACGTGTTGTTGGTAGATCAAGGCGAACCAGAGACCTACCTCGAGGCAATTACATGCCCCAAATCCGATCTATGGCTCGAAGCCATGAAATCTGAAATGGAGTCTATGTACACAAACCAAGTCTGGACCATGGTTGATGCGCCCGAAGGGGTAAAACCCATTGGATGCAAGTGGGTCTTCAAAAAGAAGATAGACGTAGACGGGAAGGTTCATACCTTCTGTAACGCCCTGAATTTAGGCCTAAAAGAATTAATTAATTTAATTATTAATTAATGACTGAGACAGACCCGAACACTGAAAAATAAAAGTTTTCAGCAAAATATTTTAATTATATCAAAATTTTAGTTTTGACAGTCTGATTCCAATTATGCGATCCGTTTTCAATTCGGAACAGTTTGGGCGAAAAAGCGCGTACCGTTTTACTCAGTTTATCCATTACGGAGTAGGAGAATATTTTAATTTTCCCAAACCTCCAAATCACGTAGAGACATCTACCCTATCCCTTCCAATCCTCAATCAAACCACCTTAGGAACCCCACTAACACATACCTCCAAATTACTTTTCCTATAATATCACCCTACCACCACCACCATCATCCTCATACACTATCACCATCATCCACCATCATTCATTCGTTCTTCTCTTCATCTCTCCACTTATCTCTCTGTCGGCAGTTCAAGGAAGGGAGAAAACACGGCTCCTCCTCCATAGGTTGCTCAAGGAAGAAGAAGAAGAAGCAAGAAACCATCCAAAATTCCCAAAATCCTGAGTCCAAAACACAGCAGGAACTTCATCGTTAATTCTGTAATTTTCTATCCTTTTTCTCAAAATATTTATTACACCAAAACTGTAGCCCCGGATGTTACGAATCCAACCCAACAAACGGTTCGTGATTTCGTTAAGTATCAAAGGAGATATGGCCAAAATACCGGGATTGCGCCAGTGGTGGGGAGCTCCTCGGGTTGGCTATGGTTCTTCATCATTTTCACATCGTTTCTTTCCAAATACTTACCGTCAACTCTCTCGTGGTTTTTAGGAACTCCCGGAGGTTATTTCCAAGGAGATTGGGCATCGGAAGCTCGAAGTTGATAGGGGTGACTGTACGTTGAACGTTCGTTGAGGCGTATTATTATCTTTTTCTCATTCCGTCCTCTACGATATCAAGGCGAGTACATTGCACCCTAGTAACACAATCCTTGGTTGAATATCAATCTAGATATATCATTAGGATTGATTGCCATATTATAAGTCATTTATGCTTTAAGATCAAACTCATGAAACTCATAAAGTTAAAATATGTTTTTCTTGATACTTTTCCTTACATGGATATATAAGTGTTAGGAATACTTCAAATACATAGATATGTTAATTATAGGTGTTAAAATGACTCAAATAAGTATTTTACACATCCAAAAATATAAAAATAGGATTTGCAGACCCGAACGGTCGACGTAAACGGTCAACCGTCGCATTAAACATCGAAACGGACCCCGACTGTCAGACAAACGGTCGACCGCCGCTTGCCCAACCGAGGACTGCCGTTCTCATCCAGTCAACAACGGTTGACCGCTGGTCAACCGCGGTCGACCGTCACGGTGATCTGCCAATCTGACCTGATGAATATCAAGGTCGACCGTCACGCCAAACGGTCGACCGTTCCGAGCCCCGTAGCTTATTTAAATGATATTTTAATCATGTTTCACCCAAATAAATTAATGTATGATTACATATTCATGTTGTTTACAAATTGTTCATATCATATGATTCATTTCATCATCCATATTGAAGCATATCACATCATATGCATGCGTAAGAGATCATGCCTCGTGCGTCTCTTATATCGTGATTGTGCNTGAATATCAAGGTCGACCGTCACGCCAAACGGTCGACCGTTCCGAGCCCCGTAGCTTATTTAAATGATATTTTAATCATGTTTCACCCAAATAAATTAATGTATGATTACATATTCATGTTGTTTACAAATTGTTCATATCATATGATTCATTTCATCATCCATATTGAAGCATATCACATCATATGCATGCGTAAGAGATCATGCCTCGTGCGTCTCTTATATCGTGATTGTGCGGGACTTAGTAGTCCGACATCACAGGTTCGGGCTTAGTGTACGTACATGGTATTCAGGCTTTCGAGTACCACCCCTATTTTTCTAGTCTCCCTAGTGAGACTAAGGTGGCATGAGTTCGTCGTACCAAATGGGCGAATCTCATAGTGCAAGGGTCGTCCTTGCTCGTTAGAATCATACAGCATGAAATCATCATCAAGTGCAATCATCATGATTAAGTATGACATCAATTATGTATCATTATCATCATCTTGAAAATACATGCTATATTATGTCATATCATGAATAATTGTATGTCTACTTTCTATTCAACTTGGAATTGTTGTATTAGCGTATTCCTCAGCTGACCCTGAGCGTGTAGTTTGTTTTACTTGCTACACGCAGGTAACAATACTGATAATGGAGCCCATCCCGGAGGTCAATGAGAGTGACGAGATGTACAGACTGGTGGACCACAATTACTATGCTTTATTTTAATAAATACATTTTCGGGCGAGTTCCTAGAAAATGTAATCCGACTTGATTATGTTTTAAGTTTAAGCTTCCGCACTGTTCTAACATTACTTTGAAATTTAATATTTGAGATTTTAATTATATTAAAGTTTAATTGGTTTTAAATTATTCCTCAAATTATCATGTGAAATCACCATCATGGTAACTACTCCGGCCCAAATAATCTAGGTAATCGGGTTATTCGAGTTGGGGTGTTACATTTTGGTATCGAAGCATTTGGTTTACAAAAAATGATTTTTGGAAATCGAATCAAAAGAGTTTCAAACACAAGTATGCATCTCTCCACATCTCTGCCCGGGAAGGTACACAATTAGTTTATTTATGACTTATTATAATTTCAATTAATTATAGAATGAGTCAAGATTCGACTCACGACTAGGCAAACCCTCACGCGGAGCCTAAACACGTTAGTGTGCATACGGTGCACACTGAGGCATCCAGCTACGTACCCCAGCAACAGCAGCCTCAGCCGGAACCTCAGCCAGTTTCGGAGCAGTTCGCGGGTCAAAACCCGAATATGGCTATTCCAATGTTCCAACCACAAATGGTTGCGAACATGTTTCAGTTCTTCCAGTAGATGGCTAGAGCGCATGCACCTCCACCACCACCTCCTGTACCCATCATCTCGATTGAGAAACTCAAAAGGAATGGAGCGCAGGAATTCTACGGCGACCAGATAGCAAATCCTCTGATAGCCAAGCGTTGGCAAGAACGCACTGTGAGGGTACTGGAGAATTTAAAAGTACCTCTCGAGGATTGGGGACAACACGCCATATTCCTGTTGCAAGATGCCGCCTATGATTGGTGGAAGCGAGTGGGCACCAACATTCCCGTGCCGATACCATGGGCTACCTTCGATCCACTCTTCAGAGAAGAGTATGTGCCCGATCACTACGTCGAGACCAAATATGAAGAATTCTCCAAATTCACCCAGGGGAAGCTGACTCTCCCCAAGTACCTTCAGCAGTTTGACAGGTTGGCCGAGTTTGGTAAAGACTTGGTCAACACCATGGAGAAGCGCTGCAAGAAGTTCATCAAGGGTATGAGACCAGACCTCTCATCATCACTCATAATTGTTCCCCGAGCCGACATCAATGACGTCTACAAGAAGGCTCTTGAGGTGAATGAGGAGCTCATCAGGAAAACTGTGTACGATCAAGCATTGCTGGTAGAAAGTCAGGCCGTCCAATCGGGCTTGAAAATGGGGCATGGTAGCAAGAGGACCTTATCCGCACCGAGCAACTCTCGCCATGATAAGCGAGCGAAATCTACCCCCTCTGCATCTGTGGCTGTCACTAGTAAGAGCGGGAAAGAGAAAGTGACATATCGTAATCCTGTATGTTCACTCTGTGGCCGCAGGCATCCTGGTGAGTGTTGGTTCACGCAGGGTCTTTGCCTCGGGTGTGGTCAGGCAGGTCATTTCTAGAAGGACTGCCCGACGAACCCAGGTGAGGTTTTCTCTACAACACAAGGCACGCCGACTGCTCCTACTGTCTGACGGGCTGAGCCTACCCAGAGTCATCGTTCCACGGCTGTTTCTAACCAGCCGAAGAGGCCAGCACCCAGTCAGCAACAAGGACGGGCACCAGCTCGTACGTATGCCATGCAAGGGCGTACAGATCCGCAGGCTAATGATGTCATCATGGCTATTTTCACTTTATTTGATATCACTGTATCTGCATTAATTGACCCTAGATCTACCTTATCATACATATGTGTATCTATGCACGTTACATCTGACGTCCCTAAGGAAACTCTCGAGCATCCAGTAGTTGTGTCAAATACACTAGGACACAGTCTACGTCTCCAACATGTCTATAATAAATGTCCGTTGATGGCTCAAGGAAAGGTATTCTTAGCCGATCTCATTGAACTCCCTCACAAGGAGTTTGACATTATACTTGGCATGGACTGGTTGACAGAACACCAGGCTATTGTTGAGTGCAAGGCGCAAGTGGTGAAACTTCGTACAGATGACGGTAACGAAGTGATCATTCGGGGAGAACTTCTACCGAAAGCCCCGGAATTCATCTCTTATATGCAAGCAAAACGGCTCATTCGCAGGAAATGCGAAGCATTCTTGTGCACTGTGAAGGATATGCAGAAGGAAACACCTAACCATAAGGACATATCTGTGGTTTGTGACTTTCCTAATGTATTTCCTGAAGAACTTCCTGGTCTACCTCCTCCAAGGGAAGTAGAATTCTCTATTGATCTTGTACCTGGTACAGGACCAATCTCAACATCACCTTATCGAATGGCCCTTGCAGAAATAAAGGAATTGAAAGCTCAATTGCAGGAGTTGCTAGATAAAGGCTTCATCCGTCCTAGTGTTTCCCTGTGGGGAGCACCTGTTCTTTTCGTCCGTAAGAAAGATGGATCAATGAGATTATGCATCGACTATCGTCAGCTAAACAAAGTGACAATCAAGAACCGTTATCCATTACCCCGTATTGATGATCTGTTTGATCAATTACGAGGTGCAACTGTATTCTCAAAGATCGTTCTTAGATCCGGTTACCATCAGATTCTCGTGAAATCAGAAGACATCCCAAAGACAGCATTTCGTACACGTTACGGACATTATGAATTTACCGTTATGCCCTTTGGCTTAACGAACGCACCAAATGTATTCATGGATCTCATGAATAGCGTCTTCAGACAGTATCTGGATCAATTTGTTGTGGTCTTCATTGACGCTATCTTGGTGTACTCAAAAACACCAGAGGATCATGCTAAGCATTTGCGCATCGTGTTGAGTATTCTGAGAGAGCATAAGCTTTATACAAAACTTTCTAAATGTGAATTTTGGCTGGATGAGGTGACTTTTCTCGATCACGTGATTTCCGCTGAAGGAGTCAAAGTTGACCCATGCAAAATTTCAGCAATCACCGAATGGAAAACTCCACGCAATACACGTGAGGTACAGAGTTTTTTTGGACTCGCTGGTTATTATCATCGTTTCGTGAAGGATTTCTCACGAATCGCTTCACCACTTCATAAATTGATGAAGAAGGATGTCAAGTTTGCTTGGACAGAAGCTTGCTAGAAAAGCTTCGAACAGTTGAAAGAATGTTTGACTCAAGCACCTGTGTTAATTCAACCGACACCCGGTACTGAATACACAGTTTTCAATGATGCATCACATCAGGGACTTGGGTGCGTACTGATGCAGGAAGGCAAGGTCATAGCTTATGCATCACGACAGCTGAAACCCCATGAATGCAATTATCCGACTCATGATTTGGAGTTAGCAGCTGTTGTTCTTGCATTAAAGATCTAGAGACATTACTTATACGGCGAGACGACTCGCATATTCACTGATCACAAGAGTCTACAGTATCTCATGAGCCAGAAGGAGTTAAACCTTCGACAGAGAAGGTGGCTAGAGTTGATTGAGGACTATAAATGTCACATCGCTTATCATCCTGGTAAAGCGAATGTGGTAGCCGATGCTCTTAGTCGCAAAACTCTTGATGAACTCCACATACGACCCACATTGGATCAGAATATCATTTCCGCACAGCATTAGGATACCTTTTGTCTCGAGACACGTGAGCTTGTTTCTAAGGGAGAGAAACAAAACTTCTCTGTTCGAGATAATGGCACATTATACTATCGAGATCATTTGGTAGTACAATTAGGTGATGTGAGAGATCGCTTATTGCGTGAAGCTCACGGAACTGTGTATAACATGCATCCTGGCAGTAACAAAATGTTTCAGGATCTGAAGAAACATTATTGGTGGCCAGCTATGAAAAGGGAAATTACCGAATTCACATCGAGGTGTATTACTTGTCAGCAAGTCAAAGCCGAACATCAGGTACCTACAGGACTTTTACAGCAGATCACTATTCCTGAGTGGAAATGGGACCGCATTACGATGGATTTCGTAATCGGGTTACCATTGTCTCCAAGGAAGAATGATGCAGTATGGGTTATTGTTGATCGTTTGAAAAAATCGGCGCATTTCTTACCAATCCGGCGAGATTTTACACTACAGCGTCTAGCTGAGCTGTATATCCGCGAGATTGTCAGACTCCATAGAGTACCATCATCCATCATTTCAGACCGCGATCCTCGTTTTACTTCCCAATTTTAGAAGAGCTTACAGAAAGCTCTCGGTTCCAAATTACATTTCAATACAGCTTTCCATCCTTAGACTGACGGACAGTCTGAGAGGACTATTCAAATTCTTGAAGATATTATGCGAGCGTGCATCATTGATTTTGGAAACAATTGGGAAAAATATTTTCCTCTAATGGAATTTGCTTATAACAATAGTTATCAGGCAAGTATTAAAATGGCTCCGTATGAGGCACTGTATTGAAAGAAATGTCGAACACCAGTTTGTTGGACTGAATTGAGTGAGAGAAAACTCGAAGGTCCAGAGGTAGTGCGCGAAACAGAGGAAAAAGTCCAGTTTATCAGAGAACGACTTCAGATAGCAGCAGACAGACAGAAATCTTATGCAGACCTCAAGCGACGTGACATCGAATATGCTGTTGGTGACAGGGTATTCTTGAAATTTTCTCCTTGGAAGAAAGTTTTACGCTTTGGCAAAAAGGGGAAACTCAGTCCGAGGTTTATAGGCCCGTACAAGGTTACAAAACGTGTGGGACCTGTAGCCTACAGGTTGGAATTACCTCCAGAGCTAAACAAGATTCATGATGTTTTTCATGTATCGATGCTGAGGAGATACAGATCAGATCCATCTCACGTTATTCCAACAGAGACTATCAGTTTGGACAAAAATCTTTCCTATGAAGAGGAACCTGTAGAGATTCTGGCACGAGAAGTTCGAGTATTGAGGAACAAAACTGTACCCTTAGTCAAGGTGCTTTGGAGGAGTCACTCTGTCGAAGAAGCAACCTGGGAAACTGAGGAATCCATGCGATCTCAATATCCACAACTTTTCAGCGACCAGTGAACAGGTAATATCGAGGACGAAATTATTCTAAGGGGGAGAGAAATGTAACGCCCTGAATTTAGGCCTAAAAGAATTAATTAATTTAATTATTAATTAATGACTGAGACAGACCCGAACACTGAAAAATAAAAGTTTTCAGAATAATATTTTAATTATATCAAAATTTTAGTTTTGACAGTCTGATTCCAATTATGCGATCCGTTTTCAATTCCGAACAATTTGGGCAAAAAAGCGCGTACAGTTTTACTCGGTTTATCAGTTACGGAGTAGGAGAATATTTTAATTTTCCCAAACCTCCAAATCACGTAGAGACATCTACCCTATCCCTTCCAATCCTCAATCAAACCACCTTAGGAACCCCACTAACACATACCTCCAAATTACTTTTCCTATAATATCACCCTACCACCACCACCACCATCCTCATACACTATCACCATCATCCACCATCATTCATTCATTCTTCTCTTCATCTCTCCACTTATCTCTCTGTCGGCAGTTCAAGGAAGGGAGAAAACACGGCTCCTCCTCCATAGGTTGCTCAAGGAAGAAGAAGAAGAAGCAAGAAACCATCCAAAATTCCCAAAATCCTGAGTCCAAAACGCAGCTGCAACTTCATCGTCAATTCTGTAATTTTCTATTCTTTTTCTCGAAATATTTATAATACCAAAACCGTAGCCCCGGATGTTACAAATCCAACCCAACAAACGGTTCGTGATTTCGTTAAGTATCAAAGGAGATATGGCCAAAATACCAGGACTGCGCCAGTGGTGGCGAGCTCCTCGGGTTGGCTATGGTTCTTCATCATTTTCACATCGTTTCTTTCCAAATACTTACCGTCAACTCTCTCGTGGTTATTAGGAACTTCCGGAGGTTATTTCCAAGGAGATTGGGCATCGGAAGCTCGAAGTTGATAGGGGTGACCGTACGTTGAACATTCGTTGAGGCGTATTATTATCTTTTTATCATTCCGTCCTCTACGATATCAAGGCGAGTACATTGCACCCTAGTAACGAATTCCTTGGTTGAATATCAATCTAGATATATTGTTAGGATTGATTGCCATATTATAAGTCATTTATGCTTTAAGATCAAACTCATGAAACTCATAAAGTTAAAATATGTTTTTCTTGATACTTTTCCTTACATGAATATATAAGTGTTAGGAATACTTCAAATACATAGATATGTTAATCATAGGTGTTAAAATGACTCAAATAAGTATTTTACACATCCAAAAATATAAAAATAGGATTTGCAGACCCGAACGGTCGACGTAAACGGTCAACCGTCGCATTAAACATCGAAACGGACCCCGACTGTCAGACAAACGGTCGACCGCCGGTGGCAAACGGTCGACCGCCGCCTGCCCAACTGAGGACTGCCGTTCTTATCCAGTCAACAACGGTTGACCGCTGGTCGACCGCGGTCGACCGTCACGGTGATCTGCCAATCTGACCTGATGAATATCAAGGTCGACCGTCACGCCAAACGGTCGACCGTTCCGAGCCCCGTAGCTTATTTAAATGATATTTTAATCTACAAAGTGGGTTTATTTAATTACATACTAATGTATAAGTACAACAAATGTTTAACAAGTATAGTATACTAAGTAAAGTAGATCCATATTGAAGCATATCACATCATATGCATGCGTAAGAGATCATGCCTCGTGCGTCTCTTATATCGTGATTGTGCGGGACTTAGTAGTCCGACATCACAGGTTCGGGCTTAGTGTAAGTACATAGTCCGACATCACAGGTTCGGGCGAATCTCATAGTGCAAGGGTCGTCCTTGCTCGTTAGAATCATACAGCATGAAATCATCATCAAGTGCAATCATCATGATTAAGTATGACATCAATTACGTATCATTATCATCATTTTGAAAATACATGCTATATTATGTCATATCATGAATAATTGTATGTCTACTTGCTATTCAACTTGGAATTGTTGTATTAGCGTATTCCTCAGCTGACCCTGAGCGTGTAGTTTGTTTTACTTGCTACACGCAGGTAACAATACTGATAATGGAGCCCATCCCGGAGGTCAATGAGAGTGACGAGATGTACAGACTGGTGGACCACAATTACTATGCTTTATTTTAATAAATACATTTTCGGGCGAGTTCCCAGAAAATGTAATCCGACTTGATTATGTTTTAAGTTTAAGCTTCCGCACTGTTCTAACATTACTCTGAAATTTAATATTTGAGATTTTAATTATATTAAAGTTTAATTGGTTTTAAATTATTCCTCAAATTATCATGCGAAGTCACCATCATGGTAACTACTCCGGCCCAAATAATCTAGGTAATCGGGTTATTCGAGTTGGGGTATTACACCTTCAAAGCCAGATTGGTAGCAAAAGGTTATAGGTAAATCCACGGAATTGACTATGATGAAACGTTTTCTCCAGTTGTTATGCTGAAATCCATTCGGATAATGCTTCCGATTGCAGCCTATTATGATTACGAAATTTGGCAGATGGACGTCAAGACAGCTTTCCTTAACGGGAACCTCAAAGAGGATGCCTTCATGACACAGCCTGACTGTTTTCAAATTGCTGGTCAATCTGCCAAAGTTTGTAAGCTGAAACGTTCAATCTACGAATTGAAACAAGCATCTCGGAGTTGGTACATACGTTTCGACGAAACCATTTCCAGTTTTAGTTTCGAGAAGCACTCTGACGAATCTTGTGTATACAAAAAGGTCAGTGGGAGTGTAATAGTATTCCTAATCTCATATGTCGATGACATATTGTTAATGGGTAACAATATTCCCGCTCTCACTTCTGTAAAGACGTGGTTGAGCGAGAACTTCTCCATGAAAGACTTAGGGGATGCTAGTTATGTCCTTGGCATAAGAATCTACCGAGATAGATCTAGAAAGTTAATAGGTCTGAATCAAAGTACGTATATAGATAAAATCCATGATCGATTTAGCATGTCTAACTCAAAGAAAGGATCTTTACCTATGACACCTGGCACGGTTCTTTCCAAGAGCCAGAGTCCTTCTACTCCCGAGTAGAAGGAACTCATGATGAAGGTTCCATACGCCTCTGCGATTGCATCCATCATCTACGCCATGATATGTACCAGACCTGATGTCTCATTTGCTTTAAGCGTGACCAGCAGATACCAGGGAAATCCAGGAGAAGCACACTAGACATCCGTCAAGAACATCCTCAAGTATCTTCACAATACTAAGGATGCATTCCTGGTATACGGTGGTGAGGAAGAGCTAAAGGTGGTCGGTTACATTGATGCTAGCTTCCAAACCGATAGAGACGATTCAAAATCACAAGCAGGATATTTGTTTTGCCTGAATGGCGGAGCTTTTAGCAGGAAGAGCTTCAAGGAGGATACAACCGCCGATTCGACTACAGAGGCTGAGTACATAGATGCAGTCGAGGCAGCTAAAGAAGCCGTTTGGATCAAGAAGTTCATTACTGAACTTAGAGTGGTTCCTAGTATTAATGACCCTATCTCGTTGTTTTGCGACAACACTTGGGCCATTGCACAGGCAAAGGAACCGCGATCTCAGTAGAAAACCAAACATATTGTACGACGCTATCACATCATACGCGAAATCGTAGACAGAGGAGATGTGATGATTTGCAAAGTAGATACCGACCACAACAAAGCCGATCCCTTGACCAAGCCTTTAGGAAAGCTAAAGCACGAGGGTCACACTAGGTCCATGGGCATTCGACCGATGCCAGATTGGCCATAGTGCAAGTGGGAGATTGTTGGAGTTGTGCCCTGATGGCCAACTGTTCATCATTATTCTATCATGTATAGGAAGATATAATATGTTTACACATCTCATGCTAATGTAAACAAATATTATATTCCTAGATTTATATTTAAAAGATGTTTATCAGATAGTGTTATTCTGCTGATGAGACTAACATCTTGAAATAAATATTTATCTGAATGTCCATAGTCGAGTATTAACGATAGTGGGATATCGTTAATTCATGTGAGACTAGTGTGTATTGGATGTTTGACTTAGTCTCATAGTCAATGATGGTGTGTTCGCATCCGCACATGGGAAGATATTATCTGGAGATAATAGGATGCCGGACTGACCCATCCTAAAGATGTTACTTGAACTTTTAGTTCATGCTCTAAGCATCTTTAGCGCGACCATGGGCGTAACTATCCTTCGACTTGAAGTATTACGTTTTCTGCATATGTGAACCTGCATGCTTTGATGCATTGTCCTAAGCCATATGAAATAAGGATGGTATACAGGCTTTGTTTTGGGTATGCCGCAGCGCGTATTTTGAAACGTAGATTACGTACATAGCATTTGTCACTACTTTTTTTAAAGAGATTAATGTCTTATGGGGCCCACTGGTAAGTTATGACTGAGGAAATTGCATGGCAATGCTGAGAGGTTTTTATGATGTCTGTTCATATCAGTTAGACTTGATATATCAGTGAATGACTTAATGGATACAAGCTGGATTTTATTAATCCCTTGCATTAAGTCTAGACATTGAGACAAAGGGATACAGTTACACGGAGTCTAAGTCGTGGAAAGGTTTTGACGGTGCAAACGTCTTAACTTATAATCTGGGGGCAATAATGTGTTGCTAGATACTGCTTATTCCTTATAGTATTGGTGCAGAGCCAAAACTGTGGCTAGCTTTATAAGTGCCTATACGGGTCACACACTTTGAACAATTTAAGGAGTATGATTAAACAATGGGATAATAAGTAATTTGTATATTTCTAAAAATAGTAAAATAAAATATTTTGGAATATAATATTATATATATAAATATTCGGTTATATATATATTTCATATATATATATATATATAAAATATAATATATATATATATACATACATATATATATATATATATATATATTGAATATTTTATTTTGGTTTGTCATTTTAATTATGAAAATAATTATTTTGACATAAACTATTTAAAGTATATTTGTATACTTGTTTAAAAATGATATGGGTATTTTTATTTGACCTAAAATTAATTTTATATTAATTTTTAGTGTCAAATAAAATACACTTTGAATATTTAAGTGGAGAAGAATTTTGAAAATACTTCTCACTTTCAAAGATCAAAAATATACGGCCATCATTAGGATTTAAAGAATCAAAATGAGTCTTTGATTAATAGTTGATTATTTTAACCTTTAGCTTAATGACAAAATATGATTAATCAATTTGTAATTTTTTGTTTTCTTTTTAATTGATTACACGGCACATTAAGATAAAAGGGGTGTGAAGATTGTCATTTTGATTATGGGGTTTCGGCCATAATTTTAGTGAGAGAAAAATATTCTTTTGTGTTCCATTAATATCATTTTGTGTATAGAAAATATCTATAATATTTTCTAAATATTATTAGAAATACTTTCTATAGAAATATACAAGATTATTATTTTCCCAAATTTTAATCTTTATATTTTATACTACTATAATCTTTACTAGCCTAAAGATTGTGGTAGACTCCGGCGTTGTTAGTGTGTCAAAGTGGGAGACCGGACGCTTGAACGGTTACGTTTGCACTTTCAACGCTCTTCCTACGACTTCTTCGTTTTTACTGCTTACGGAGAAAGGTATAAATTTCTTACTACTATATGTTTTAATACGTGATTCTGGGCAAGAAAATCATGTTAGGATGTTAAAATTTTTATATTCCGCTGCCTATCCTTGCATGGTTACCTTTCATCAATATTCATATTCAGCATTCAACATTCAACATTCATATTCAATATTCAACATTTGATATTATCCTTAAACTATTCTTAGTCTAAGGCAAATCACTTTAATGCTTATCAACCCTTAAACGAATTCTAGTTTTAGATAATCAAACTATATTCCAGTTTAAGGTACTCCTAAATAATCCTTAAGGTAGGCCTAGTTTTAAGATAAAAAGGGTTTCCAAAATCTTAAACTTATCTTCGCTTAAGGCCAACCAGAAACCAACAGCGTAGTGTTCACTGTAAGGTTGGGTGGTACCCCCAAACGAGTAGGTACTCATGTTTAGTTCTTGGATCCTGTACGTACGTTTTAACCCTAGCCACTGAGCATCATACCCGCAAAGCCTAACTAAAATGGGTATATCATAGAGTTCTTCTAGATACCTTTCAAAATCAATATCACTATGGGTATCTCTTAGAGTTATTCTAGATACCTTTCAAAATCAACATCAGTATGGGTATATCTTAGAGTTATTCTAGATACCTTTTGAAATCAACATTAATACAGATATATCTTAGAATTATTCTTGTTAGAATAAGTGCCCTTCACTAGAGGGGGGGGGGTGAATAGCGAGGCACAAAAATGCTTATAAATTTTCACGGAATAAAAATCACAGGGATAAAGTAAAGAGCGGAATAAAAAGAAGTAAAGGGAGCACACCAAGATTTATACTGGTTCACCACAACGTGTGGCTAGTCCAGTCTCCCGAGAGACTCTCTCGAGCTACACTACTTCCGTTAAGCTTACGGGTGCTTAACAAACCGTTACAACCTGAGAACTCGAGTCCCACGAGCCTCAATACACTTGCTCGGAGATACCGCACTTCAAGACTTCAACCCGAACGAAAAATACCTTTCCTTCGTACAAGCAAGGGAAACAAGCTTCCCTTAACGTGTATACAACACTAAAACACTCAAGAACAAATACTCTCTTTTAGAGTGGATATTGAGTAAAATATGTACGCTCAAGAACTACTCAAACTTCACACGAATTGGCTCTAGAAAGCAATGGAAAATGATGTTTTTTGAATGCAATGATAATATGAATATTGTGAAGTGAATTGGTGGGTAAAGTAGACCCAAACACCCCTTTTTATAGTGCCAAAATAGGCTCCAAAGATCTGCAGGATAAAGGCATTAAAGGGGTGATTGGCTTGATTTATGGGATTGATTAAAATGTGGATCTGCAGGATATTGGCTTTCCCAGCGATGTATGGACTTACCCATCACTGGTAAGCCAATTTTCCTTCAGTTTTGAAGCCAACGGTCACCTACCCATCGATGGGTACATGCTTCCCATCGCTGGGTGGGAGGTTGACTTCTAAACAAGGAAAGAATCAACCTTAAATGACTTGCAACGGTCATGCCTGACCAGCGATGGGTATGCCCTCCCATCGCTGGGTTCCCATCGATGGTTAAAGTTCCCATCGTTGGGTAAGGTCATTCTACCTTGTGTTAATGTTGGACCAAGGCTTGAATAGCGATGGGTAGAACTTCCCATTGCTGATTGGCATGGTTCTGGAATTCCGTTGGGCTGAAGGCTGCTTACCCATCGATGGGTAATATCTCCCATCGCTGGGTGA